TTCTGCTGGGCGGCAGTCAGGCCCAGGCGGCGGTCATGTCCTTCACCGACTGCGGCAACGGCGAGGTGGAGCGCATCACCATCGAGCCGTGCTCCGTCCAGCCGTGTCACTTCGAGCAGGGCCAGCTGGCCAATGTGACGGTGACCTTCGTCAGCCAGCAGAGCGCCGCCTCCGTCTACGTCAAGAGCACCCTGTACCGGGTGGGCCTCTTTCCCTTCGAGCTGCAGGTGCCGGAGACGGATCCGAGCCTGTGTCGAAACGGCGACCAGCAGCGAGACTGGGGCCGGGTGGAGTGTCCGCTGCAGGCCAACAAGCGCTACACCTTTGTCTACAGTCGGCCCTTCCCGGTGTCCACCGCCTACAATGTAAGTCAGATAGATGGATGGGAAGATCCCATTATGATCACTAATCACTCTCTCACTCCCATCCCTAGCCCTTTCACTACTCGAAGCTTCGCTTCCTGAGCGTGGACGGCCGGACGATAGCCTGCGCCGACATGAAGCTCAACTTTAATCGAGCCGCCGAAGATCTGCTGCTGGAGAAGCAGCTGCTCCAGAACAAGCTNGCTGCAGGCCAACAAGCGCTACACCTTTGTCTACAGTCGGCCCTTCCCGGTGTCCACCGCCTACAATGTAAGTCAGATAGATGGATGGGAAGATCCCATTATGATCACTAATCACTCCCATTCCCATTCCTAGCCCTTTCACTACTCGAAGCTTCGCTTCCTGAGCGTGGACGGCCGGACGATAGCCTGCGCCGACATGAAGCTCAACTTTAATCGAGCCGCCGAAGATCTGCTGCTGGAGAAGCAGCTGCTCCAGAACAAGCTTAAACACTAAGTGAGAGAGCAAATAAAAGTATTTCTAAACTGTTTCGAAATTGCATGTTTTGATCACAATAAAAAAAGCTCTCAAAAGAAATATAAGAGCGAGACACTTACATTGGTAGAGGTGTGTGTCCTCGCGCCCGCCTTAGTATCGTCTACTTTCGCCGCTTCAGTCGGCCAATGTCCTCCTTGTTCAGGTACTGAACGCCATCCTTGAAGCGGCCAATCTGGTAGTCCATCTGGCGCACCTCATTCAGGCCCTTCTTCTTTCGGCTGTCGTTCTTGCTGGCGCTGCAATCAAACAAAGTGTGGTTAGTGGCAAATCAAAAACAGGCTAACAACAATGCCAAGGTTACCTCCACTTTCCCTTGCGCATCTCCAGCTGTCCCATTTGAGCTCGTTCCTCCCTCTCCTGGGCCTCCTTTTGCTTGCGCTCTCGAACATTTTCCAGGTGCTTTTTGATGTTGACGCCTCGCGGCTTCTTTGGCTAGAAAAGTAGAATAGTTAGTTCATCAGTTTTATATACTCAACAGCAACAACTCACGATGGCGCCGAGTCGAATGGCCAGCTCCTTCTTCGCCTCCAGCTTGTCCTTGTGCTTGAAGCCCTTGATGCCGAGCATAAACACCTCGTGACGGGCCTTCTCCAGGTCAAAGTCGCCGCTGCCCAGCTTTGGTTTCTGTCCCAAAAAGCAAGTCAGTCCAGATTGAGAAACAAAACACTGGGCACTTACCTTGCTTCGGCTGTTGTCCTGGTGGGAGCCCGGGTGACCCTTGCGGCCCTTGTGTCCAAAGGGGGGCGCCATTCTGGTGGTGGTGGATTCTCTTAAGCTGATAAAATTCTTGTCTAGCTTTGTTGTGCTTCGGCGGCGTCGGCGGCGTGTGTCGGCTGTTGCCACAGCCCCTACTCCGCGTGAGAGCCCTCGAGGGTGGAAATAGTGCGCTACAGTAGCGGCAACGGCGACAGTTGTTGTTTTGTTTGCTACACAGAATTGCCAAATCATTGTCTCCCTCTCTCTCTCTCTGGTTCGCTACCGAGACCGATACAGAATCAGTCCATCACCACCACCATCACCTCCCACCTCCCAACGATGACTACTTCCGGTGCCGGCCACGACGAGTGGTGTCTGATCGAGTCCGACCCGGGCGTCTTCACCGAGCTGATCCGCGGCTTCGGCGCCACCGGCGTCCAGGTGGAGGAGCTGTACAGTCTCGAGCCGGAGTGCTTCGAGAATCTCAAGTAAGTCCGCTTATTCCTGAACATCTTCATTACCACTAAACCCCACTTCTTCTCCTTAGGCCAGTGCACGGCCTGATCTTCCTGTTCAAGTGGGTGGCGGACGACTTCTCCGACGGGAGCCGCCTGACGGACAAGGCGATCCTCGACGAGCTCTTCTACGCCAAGCAGGTCATCCACAACGCCTGCGCCACCCAGGCGCTGATCAGCATCCTCATGAACTGCCACCACGGCGACCTGAAGCTGGGGCAGACGCTGGCGGACTTTAAGGAGTTCACGCGCAGCTTTGACGCCCACCTGAAGGGCCTGTCGCTGTCGAACGCCGACCAGATCCGCGCCGTGCACAACAGCTTCGCCCGGCAGCAGGTGTTCGAGTTCGAGGGCAAGTCGAAGAAGAAGGAGAAGGAGGACGCCTTCCACTTCATCTCCTACATCCCCTTCGCCGGGCGACTCATCGAGCTGGACGGCCTGAAGGAGGGCCCCTACGACCTGGGGCCGATCGCCGAGGGCGACGACTGGGTGGCCACCGCCCGGCCGCACATTGAGAAGCGCATGCAGAAGTACGCCACCGGGGAGATTCACTTCAACCTGATGGCGCTGGTCAGCGACCAGAAGATGGTCCTCTCCCGACGGCTGGCAGAGCTGACGGCGGCCAAGCCAGCGGAGCAGGGATCTGCCATCTCCGAGGAGGTGCAGCTGCAGGTGGAGCACCTGAAGATGCTGATCGGCGACGAGGAGGCGAAGATGGAGCGCTACAAAGCGGAGAACATCCGCCGCAAGCACAACTACCTCCCCCTCATCGTCGACATCCTCTCGATGCTCGCCGAACAGGGCAAGCTGGTGGAGCAGTACGAGAAGGCGAAGAGCAAGTCCATTCAGCAGCTGAAGCTGAAGAAGAAGAAGAAGCCCTCCGGCGAGTCATCATCCTAGGAGAGCACTACCGTTTACCACCGTCCATCTATTATTTTACACACACCACACCACTTCTACTAATGTACTTCATAATAGAAAAAAAAGAAGAGGAGTATCACAACAANTTAGGAGAGCACTACCTTTTTACCACCGTCCATCTATTATTTTACACACACCACACCACTTCTACTAATGTACTTCATAATAGAAAAAAAGAAGAGGAGTATCACAACAACAAAAAGAGTAAACAACAACAAGACTAGTAACTAGACACTACTGATCGAAAATGAGCCGAGGAAAGGCGAGCAACCGCTCCAACTTGCCGGCCACCCTCAGCAGCGAGTAGTCCGCGAATCGGGGCCCGATGAGTTGCAGTCCAATCGGAAGGTGGCTGATCGGGTGGACCTTGACTGGGAGAGAGATCGCCGGCAGTCCGGCCATGTTGGTGGGCTGCGTGCAGTAGTCCTCCTTGATGGCCTCCTCGGTGCTGTCCAGCAGCGACCAGTCTCGGTAGCTCATCGTCCCCGTCACCGTGACCGGCGTCAACAGACACTGAACTCCACTTTCTCCAGNAGATCGCCGGCAGTCCGGCCATGTTGGTGGGCTGCGTGCAGTAGTCCTCCTTGATGGCCTCCTCGGTGCTGTCCAGCAGCGACCAGTCTCGGTAGCTCATCGTCCCCGTCACCGTGACCGGCGTCAACAGACACTGAACTCCACTTTCTCCAGCAAAAACTGCGGCAAAGTCGTCGGTGATGAGCCGCCTGAGGGTGAGCGCCTTCTCGTAGTACCGCTGGTAGTGCTCACTCAGCAGAAAGTAGTTGCCGGCGATGATGCGCCCCTTGACGATGTCGTTGAAGGCCTCCTCACGCGTGGCCGTGTACTCATCCTCAAAGGTCAGTGTGCCCGCCCGGCCACTTCGATGGCCGTACTGGACGCCGTCGTAGCAGGCAAAGTTGGAGGCCACCTCGGCGGTGTTGAGGATGCTGTAGCAGGGCAGGGAGTACTTGGTGTGCGGCAGGGAGACCGAGCTGATGCGGGCGCCCGCCTTTGACAGGAGCTCGATCGTCTCGTCCCAGGCGGCGGCGATGCTCGCGTCCAGGTACGACGGGCGGTACTCCTGGGGAATGCCGATCCGCAGACCGGACAGCTCCAGCTCAGAGTTCTGAGGCTTCAAGTCCACCTCCACAGTGGTCGAATCCCGGTGGTCCAGGCCGTGAAGTTGGGCAAAGACGGCGGTCACGTCCTCCACCGTGCGGCCCATCACCCCGGGCACGTCCAGCGAATGGGTCAGCGGAATCAGCCCGAAGCGGGAGATCAGCCCGTAGGAGGGCTTGAAGCCGACGATGCCCACCCTGGAGGCGGGGTTGCGCGTCGAGCCGCCCGTGTCGCTGGAGAGGGCGGCAAAGGAGGCGCCCGTGGCCACGGCGACGGCACTCCCGCCGGAGCTCCCGCCGGGAATGAACCACTCCTCGGGCTGTTGGGCATCGCCCACAGGCAGTGGAGGAGAAGAAGAAGTTTCACTGAGCAACCTAAACTTGAGTCCACTTCTCCAGGGATTGTACGTCCGCCCAAAGAACGACTCCGAGCAGGCGGCGCCCATGGCAAACTCGTCCATGTTGGTCTTGCCCACCATCACTGCCCCGCCGCCCTCCTCGGTGAGTCGCTCGACGACGGTGGCGTTGAAGGGCGGCACGTACTTGGCGAGCATCTTCGAGGCGCAGGTCGTCGGCACGTCCTTCGTGCTAAAGTTGTCCTTGAAGGAGAGCGGTATGCCGTCCAGAAGGCCCAGTGGCTGACCTGTAAAAAAGGCATTAAAAAGCTGAACCACCATCCTCTTGTAATCCCCTTACCCTTGGCAAACCTCTCCGCCGAGTGGCGAGCCTGCCGTCTGGCCACCTCCTCCGGCACGGTGATGAAGGCATTGAGAGCGGCGGTCTGCCTGATGCGCTCCAGCGTCGCCTCCAGCAGCTCCACCGGCGACAGCTGCCCGCTGAGCAGCAGCCTGTGGACACTGCCGATGGACTGGTTCAGCAGGGGCAGGGACTGCTCCTTCGTGATCTTCGTCGTCAACTTGAGCATTCCTGGATGATGATGGTGATGGTGGTGATCTGCTGATTTGAAAGCACATGCTGTGTGCAGTGTTTACATGACATCTCCCCGAAAGGGACAAGTGTCCGACGAGACAGCTGTGCACAGTTGCAGCCTTCGTTTAGGCGGGAAATGAGCACTGTGCACTGCTGATGATCACTGATTCCCTCCAAAAC